TCGAAGGGTCGGATCGTGTCAAGCCTCTCGCCCGGCCGGCCGCGTGCAGACGTCGGCCTGTCTCTTAGGGTACCCCTAGGCTTAAAAGGGTGGGCCCTGGGGCGCCTGCGGCTTAAACGGCTTAAAACCGGCCTAGGCCGGTTTTAAGAGCTGCTGGGCCGCCGATTCCTTAAACGGTCTTAAACGCTTAACGGTGCGGGAGAGCTCCCGAGGTCGATGGTCCGGGAGGCTCCCCGGTAGACGCCGGAGGCCGGGAAGCTGGCTACAGTCAGCTGGCACGCGTCCCCTATGCGAGTATGGCTCCCGCCAGTGCACCAGACTTACAGATGTGTCTTCAGTGGCGGGTTCGTGCCTAATAACGGCAGTATTGGAGAAACCGGCGCGGAACCCAGCGACGCGTGCCGGTGAGGCCGATTTTCTTAAACGGACTTAAAAGAGGGACCCCCCGTGCCTGCAATCTCTTAAATGGCAAGTTAAGCCCCCAAACCTCCTCGTTTCTTAAAAGGTCTTAAAAAAATCCGGCCCTCAGAACCCTAGGGGTACCCTAAGGCCTGTCTGCTGTCTGGAGTGATCTGTCGGCGGTCAGTACGACCGATCAGGTTGGAGTTTTCTGGTTAGATGGTCTATCTGTATGTACTCCTCGAGATCTCTCCAAATCTGCCCTCTGATTAACCGTGCTTAATCGGGAAGTCGGTGCTAACGGAGACTAGCGGAGCCGGGCCCCGTTTCCGCACTGCGCACTGCGGCGCGGCGCACGGTGCCTCCGGGGGCCCCCGCCTCCCCCCAGAGCCCCAGCCAGTTCTTGGTGGTCCAAGTCACCTCATCGAGGTACTGGGCCCGAGTCAGCTTGTTCTGTAGTACGTTTCGCCGCCTTCCAGAGGATCTCGCCGACCCCCTTCCCGAACCCACCTAACCGATTCGAACAGCAGCAGCTGCACGTCTCCCTGGCGTAGCGAACCGGTAATCGCCGCCGTATAAGACGGTACGTGGCGGTCGCCGCCCACCGCCCTGCCCCCCCTGGAATCGTGGTATGCCAGCGAGCGACCCGTCCCTTGCCCTCTCTCGCCCTTGCTCTTCCTCTCCCCCCTCCATGCTGCCCCCCCCCCCCCCTCGCAGAAGGGCCCATGCCCCTCAACAATGTTCAGGATGAAAAAAGAACATAGAGAGAAAGAGGAGTTTTTAAAGCAAGAACTTATGCAGAATTCTTTTATTCCCACATTTGTAAAATTCTTTTATTCCACCACAGCCCGGCGCCAAACGGCCCGGCCGCTCGCCGGAGCCGGAGCGCCTGTCCTCCGCGCGCCTCGTCGCCCCCGGGCGGCTCCCATGATCCAGGCCGGCCAGCGGTACAAGCTCTCGGGCCTGGCCGCGGCGCACCTCAACGGCAAAACGTGCAAGATTCGGCGGTACGACGAGGAGAAGAAGCGGTGGATTGTGGACCTGGATGCGGATCTCGAGAAGAACAACGATGCGCCAAAGGCGCTCCGCGCGGAGAACCTCAAGCCCATCACCGAGCCTCCGCTCGGAGGCCCCTCCACCCCTCCGCCAGCCGCAGCGCAGCCATCCGTTGCTCCGTCGGCGGTGGCGGGAGGAGGGGGAGGCGCGGCGACGACGCCGACGCAGACGGGCGCGGGGCTCTCAGCGAACGAGCCCACCGAGATCACGGGCGAAGAGTTCCGGCGTAGCGTCGCGGCGAAGGCCAGCATG